GTACTGGCAGTGAAGATTTGCTTGTTTTGTTCTGGTCTTACTTGTGTAGAGAATAAGACTCATGTAGACAGCTATTTAATTCCATCCACTGCGTACTCAAAAATGTAATCTGTGGCAAACTGGTGACTGAGTGGCTTGTTAATTTCAACTGCAAGCAGTTTCCAGTCACTGCCCATCTTCAGTCTGGCTTAATCACAAACCTGTGATACCATTTTTTAGCACCTAATCCAGTATTATTTTTTTTTTTTAATTCCATCAGTTGTGATTCTGCCTTGAATAAAGTATTTCTGTTCTCCTAAAATACTTTTTGTAATCTAGGAACCAAAACTGTCCACAGAACTGCGTTGTGCCTTTCAGCAGAGCCTTGTTTACTGGCTTCACCCATCACTGTCGTGGCTGCAGCTGTTCCCTCGTATTGGAGCAGACAGAAAGATAGCAGGAAAAGCCTGTCCATGGGCACAGGATGAGGCCTTGCAACAAGCACTGATGAGCGACTGGTAAGGTGGAGCCTAAGTGTAGGTAGTAAGATCAAGATCCTAGGATTTAAATCAGCGTAAGTTCCTTCTGTTTTTATGAGAATATGTTTGATTTATTGGTTGTTTAATTATTTTAGCTGGTATGCACTTAGTTTGAGGATCAGGTTAGGGACTGCCTCTAAGACCAAAGCTACCTTGGTGTGTTTAATGTCCTCCTCTGACCACAGTTGATTTGGATTTCTGTGAATCCTGTTAGTAGGTTGCCTTTGGTGCTCCATGTAAAACTGCACGTTGGATGGCAAGTATGCAAGAAAAGCATAGTACTTGCAAATAGGATGTGCTTCACAGGAGTTCAGAGCAACTTCCTGGATGCTGAGTGCATGTGAAAATCAGACTGATCGCTTATTGTGGTCTCAAGCCTGGCTGGAGCACACATCAGTAACACCCAGCCAAATCCAGCTTGATCCATCAGCAGCAAACAATTTCAATTACAAAATTGGTTTTTTGTTTGTTTTTTTTTTTCCCCTCATTTGCAGGTCTGTCAGCTTTACTTCTCTATACAATCTGCTCAAAGCCAAGCTGTGCCCCTACTTCTATGTGTGCACTTACCAGTTTACTGTCCTGTTCCGTGCAGCTGGTCTGGCGGGAAGTGATGTTATCACAGCAGTGATTTCTCCCACCACCAGAGGTTTAAGGGAAGCCATGAGAAATGAAGGTGAGGTGAAACCAATCTGACTTACATTTTAATAACCAATACATAGCATTTGCTGTGCATTCCAAAACCACTCACTGCTTTCTTTCCTCTTCTCTTCAAGGCATAGAGTTTTCTCTACCTTTGGTAGAAGAAAGTAGAAGCAGAAAACAGAAAAACTCTGAAGGGAATTTGGAAACAGAAGTTGCTCATGACCCTGAAGTGGGTAGAAGCCCTGAGAATGGCGAGTATGTCATAAATCTAAAATGCTGCAGTTCTGAGGCATTTCTGGACTCCTGCACATTTTATTTGAAAAGTTCTGAGCAAGTTTTATCCTCCTAAAAGTGATCCTGTTTCTTAGGGAAGCTGCTTCAAGTGATGATGATGATGATGGTTTCTCTTGGCTTGAGGAGATGGGAGTCCAAGACAAGGTTAAAAAACCAGATGCTGTTTCTATTAAACTGTATCCTTTCTTTTTGTCTCGCCACTTCCTGCAGTGGAAAGCCCTGCAGCTGTTGCCTTTTGGTGAATCCAAGAGGAATGTCCTTCCAACTTCTGAGACTTAGCCCGCACCAGTGCATCATAAGTGGGGGAATCAGGGGAATCCCTTCAAAAGCAGACTACTGCTCTAAACTGAGCTGCTCATGTTTTTATGTTTTGATGCAAGATTCATAGGAAAAGTAGGAGTTGCAAGCTTTGTTTTAATAATTGCTACCTGCCAGCTGTAAGACAGTGGACCTGAAAACATTCTTACTCTCAGCTTTAATAATCAGTCAGGTGTAAGATGCTGCCAAGTAATCGATGTAAGGAATCTGAATGAGCTCAAGGCTTGTTTTTTTTGGAGAAACTGTTTGTTTTAATGATTGGTCAAAGGTAGAGGGGCAGTGGGTTTTGTTTGGAGTTGCTGTGCTGCTTAAGTTTTTCCCTCAACTCTGGTCAATTCAGTCGTAAAGAGAAGCATGAAGTGCAGGTGGATCACAGACCTGAATCCCTCGCAGTGGTGAAAGGAACAAACACGTTCACTTTATTGAACTTCCTGATAAACTGTAAGAGCCTGGTGGCTGTTGCAGGTCCACAGGCAGGGCTTCCTCCCACTCTCTTGTCTCCTGTTGCTTTCCGAGGTGGAACAATGCAGACGCTCAAAGTAAGTAATGCAGCAATCTCTTTTCCTGTAATAAGCGGAAAGCTCTACCTTCTTCTGGTACAGCAGAGTGATTTTTGATGCTAGAGCCTGAATTGGCATTGACTGCAATATGGACTTCCTCCAAAGTCATCTTTACCCACGTAACCTGTGGTGCTGAACTGAAATCCCACTATTTCTACCTATCGTAGTAGCTGTTAAGTAGTTCCCAGATTGTAAAAACGTTCTTAGAAGATTCACCTTTGAATGCTACTGAGATCATACAGGGTCTACTGAGATGATACTTCAACAGGCAATGAGAGCCTCTGACCTGTAACTGTGGGAGGTGGTGGGCACTAACTGTTACGCTCCCTGTGCAGATAGTGCAGTCCTCTGCCACTGGAGAAGCTGCTCATGTGGCACGCAAAGTTCTTCTGCAGATGATTTCCCTAATACTGTAAAATACTCCTGCGTATCACAGTTCTAGGAGCTGGTAGATGCTAAAAACATAATACTCGTATGTACTGAAGTTGATGATATTTTAAAATACTTTGAGCTTTTCACGGGCTTATGGCACTGCAGTATGAAGGTGTATGAACAACCATCTGGATTTGGTTTCAAAATGTAATCCTGCGTGCTGTTGGTTTCAGGCTCGTAGTATGAACGCAAAAGCCAGGGTCCGCCTGGCATACGAAGATATCTTCAGTTTGGAGATCGTAGGCCCTGTCCTGCCTCATTCTCTCCACTTGCTGACCATGCTGCTGCAGTCTGCACAGCAGGGAGCATTTTCTGCAGTGCTGTATACGCATGAACCAACGGCTGTGTTTAACGCTGATCTCCATAATGCGAGCCCTGCCTTAGAGAAGGTAAGTAAACTAGAGAAGACAGCCTTTCCTGTCTCAGAAATGGGCTCATCAGAAAACTAGCTTTTTGGGAGCTCCCCAAAGATACATAAATGAACATTGAAAACTACAGCTATTTCAGACAGAAATGTGTATTACGTGTTTCTCTTCTTCAGGAAACCATAAGTAAAGACCTGCTGAAGTGCGGGCTGCATTCTAAAACTTTGGATCAACTGAGTCAGGTGCCAACACTGGGAAAATCTTCCCTCCGGTTTCTGGAAATGAAGGACTCTGCATATGCCTGGAAGTCTTAGGTACGTGCTGTTTGGAGGAGGTGGAGCACAAAGCTCTCCAGTGTGAAGTTGCTGTGCTTCCTTCAGGCCTGCAGGGCAGCACCCATGCTGTTAGAGGAGCTAAGTAACCTAGTCCAACGTCACAGCCAACTCTTGCACATCACAGCAATAAAAGACCGTGAGGGGTTTTCGGAGGAAACTGAGAAAAAGGCCCTGGACATCTCCTTTTGTATTTTAGAAAGCATTTTTAAAAATAAAATTTTATAAAATGGTCTGCTTTTGATCTGAATTCAGGGTGGAAGGCCTGTATTTTTTTGCACCTATGTGTATATTCTATTCTGAAACACAGAATTGCTGCTACTGCTCAGTGCAGTAATGTGTAGCCACTTCTGAGGGGTGGAATTCTTATCCTATCACCTCTGAGCCCTGCTTACAGCACTAAGCCAGAAGCTTGGCCTAAATCTCAGCACTTTACACCTCTTGGTTGAGGTGTAACTTCAACTGCAAAAACCAGAAATCAGATGGGTACAAACAGTTCCAATTGCATCTGAATCAGATTAAAAGGCTGGGAGCCCCAGAACTGCTGCCATAATCCTCCAACATTGCCATCTTCATTTACTTACTTCAAAATAAGATTTTTAACAGGCAGTTTATACAATGGAGCGTGCACCAGAACAAGTTACAACAACACACTAGGGTTATGACACCTGATGGAAGCAGAAGAAAATGAAAGGCAGCAAGGTGATGTTGCTCTGTTCATAGCAAGAGCCTATGTTCACGTTTAATGTAATCTGTTACGCTACTGCTGCTTTGGAGATGTGTATAATGTCATTTATCACACAGCTATCAGGTGAGCCTCTTCCTGCAGCAAAAAATAGTAGATCTGAAGAGCAGTAAGTAGAATACCATCATGCTTATGCACTCCAGCAAGATTTGTAATTCTGGTATTTTGCACAGAAAAGAATAATACTTGTAGTCACGCAACCTTTATTTTCACTACAGTGGTGTCCTGTTCACCTGACATCATTCTGAAGCAGTGATAGTCTGCTTGATGGACCTAACAACCAGCTCTAAGCAAATCACTGCAGACTGAGGCAGTTACACGAGTATTGTGTAGGTTTACAGTGTTACTGCACAGTAACTACCACGGCACTGGCAGGGTCACAGTACAGAGAAGACCAGGGCATCAGGAAAACCTAGATAGACCTCAAGTCCCTACCTTACAGTACAAAAGGGCAGCTTTAGATCTTTAAATCTAGGGTGTCAGACAACGGGAGAGAAACCAGCACCAATTCTGGCAAGCCTGGCAGTTATTATACTTGACTCTGCTGTTTCTCCATCCCCCTATTTTAAAACTACCACTTAGTTGACTGTCTGGAACTGGTTCTGGTGGCTGCTGGCTCTACGTGCTCAGGCACCACAGGGAAGTCGGAAGCACTATCAGTGAAAGCACTGCTAGGAAAGCAATCCTGCAACAACAAAAACCCAGCAGGCACAGAGATGCCTTCGAGTTCCAGGAGTCCATTCACTTTTGAGACAGCTGAAGTGCCCCATAAATAAACAGGTCCCGAGAGAGTGTTTCCTAGTTACTCTTTTTAATAGGACTACTTGTCTATTCCTGCATGCAAAGGACACTCCAACCAAATTTACAAACTGAACAGAAGGACATCTCCACACTAAATTCATTTATCATTCTAAACAACAGGAATGAAACTAAAACAGAAACCCCGAAGTCAAGAAGTGTCATAATTGAAGTATTACAGATATTAATATTGTAAGTATTGAAAATCAAAGGTTAGATCTACATACAGTACCACGTCTTTTAAGGCGTGAAATCCAGAATTTGCCTGAACAGTTACTTTTGAAATGGAGTCTTCTATGGGACTGAATTCATCTGTTCCTCAAAACATATCTTTCCAATATACACGGAGAATATAAACCCCGAAAGAACAAAATTAACAAAGTACAACAGATTATGTTCCAGATAATGAACAGATCCAAAACCTGTGCTTATATGGACACCACGGACGGAACAGCACGAGCAACACTGCTGATGTTTTAGCTGTATCAGCAGATATTTGAACAGAAGCCTGAATAGGAGCTGCCTCCCACATCCTGAGTTAACAGCTTTGAGTCAGACATCAGAAAGCTGGACTTGCCTAAAATGGATACAATCCCCAGTTCTCCCACAGTCCGTCTTTCCATCGCTGTACCATCTGCTTAGCTTTGTTTCTCAACCTTACAACTTGTTCAGAAAATGAGGCAAGGAGATCTTCAAACAATTTTACACAGAGACTGAAGGTGAGAAGCCAAAGGGAGAAAACTTTAATTAGAGACAACTACGTCCACAAAAAGAAAAAAAGAAGTTGTCATTTCTAGAGTGCTTTGATAGACTAATGAAGGGGTTTATTTTGTGGGTGTGTGGTGGACAACACAGTACTGCTTCTCTGCTGTATGCAAAACGAGACACTGGTACTTGTCCACTGAGGGCAAAGGAAGATACCTTGTTCAGTAACAGCTGAGAGCACACACAAATAATTTACTCTGCGGAGGAAGAGCTACTATTAATTCACCACCTCCAAGATCCTACTGCCATTGCAAAGGTCGTTCACTTTAGGCCTGAGCACAGTCCTACTGCATACAAATTGTAATTTGTTCCTGTTCCCGATGAAGCTCTGGTCAGTTGATGTAATACAAAAAAATCCTCAAAGACTTTTCGGAAATAAGCACCTGAACTACCACAGTAACAAAGTACTGCTGTAATCCCGGCAGTCTGCTCAAAACACAGACAAATCTGGCTAAAGGTGTACAATGCCCTTTCCAATTCAAAGTGCACATAGCTAAAGAACTAATACTTCTTAAATTAAGAGGAAAAAAAAAATAAAAGGAAAAGCTTCCTATATCCTTTCCCTTATCAAACTGCCACAACTCTGGATCAGATTGTCTCCTTGAGGGCAGAGTACCGTTACAGAAAATGCAAGCTCAAGGAGTTCATTTGGTAATAGTCCAAAGCAAGTGAAGTTGCCTAGAACAGATTCTGCAGCTCTAATGGCTGCTGCTACTCTTGTTAAGCGATACGTTTGCACTGTGCGTTTCTTCACAAAGCTCTTTTGGCATAGATTTTAATTACTGCTTACTGACCAGCGATTAAGATTATGAACTTGTGCTGCTTTATTGACCAAGTTGGGTACAACAATTTAAGCATCATTCTATTCCCTCCCTCCCCCCAGTCCAGTTGTAGATTTGTTAGACTTTAAAATTCACATTAACCACAAATCCATACAATCAACATCAGGCAGTGTGTTAATTTGTTTGGAATAGACAACTCCATCATCTCCCTTCTCAGAACATGCAGGGAGAGTCACTTTTACATCTCAAAAGTCTCGCTGGTTCCATTGCTGGACTTTCTGCCATCCCTTTTAAAGCAAGACTTTTGCCTCATCGCGTACGTCCTAGAGGATGAGCTGCATGGCCAGCTGCGGTGCAGCACCGAGTGAAACCCCAAACAAAACTCCAAGAGAAGCGGTGGCGTTAGCACTGTACAACAGGGCTGCTACCACAGCTCCCTCTCTCCCAGGGGTCACAGTACTGGCCCGGTATCTGCCCAGCAGTACACGCCAGCCTCGACTAGACTAAGGTAAGCTGCGTGGTCTTTTACCAGCTTTCACCAGGCAAAAGTGCAAGAGTAGCTTTACCGAGACCAGGGAAAACTGCAGCATAGTACAAAACAGTATGAAAGTGTTAACATTCCATATTGAGGAGAGATCGCATGAGTTTTAAAACAAGGGTTTAGATTACTGATGCCTCCAGAGTCTGTCGTCTGATTTAGTCATTTAAGAAATAATTACATCACTAATGTAAACAATATAAACATACCAAAAACTAAGTATGATTTAAATACATTTTGATGGTACAAAAGAAAAACCTGAAGGTGTCTGTACAGTTTTTACAACGTGGGAATTGCCAATGTATTTACAACATGAAAGGGCAAATACCATTTTTGTGCAGAGTAAAATTATCTGAAATAATGTCAATATAAAAAACAATATCTAGCGGTGTGAGGCACTCCTAAACATGGTGGTATTGACCATGCTTTCCTTTGGTACAAGTCCCATCGCTTGGAGAGCCGCAGTTGCTGCTGTGGCTTTAGCATGCTTCTTATTAAGGCTGGCAAAAGTAGGCCTGTATTCATTTCCATTGACTCTCACCTGTTTGAGACGGATGGAAAAAGGACATGTTAGGAAGTGCCTCACGTCTAGCCTGCAAGAATCACCTCCAGATGGAAATTGTTAACACAAGATAGCACAACAGAAAAAAAACCAAAACAGATCACATTCTAAGATACCTAAAAGTAAAAAAAAAGACCGAGTCTTTTCACTATCTTTACAATTGTATTTGCACCACACCTGCAAACAAGAAGCAAGAATATGATTCCACACAAGTTAATCATTTTAGTAAGCCGTGGAATGGTATCACAGTTCCTTGATGGATTTGCAGATTAATGCGCTGGAGAGACCTGATATGGCTTTCACAGAAACAGGGCTCTGATACTCTAGCACTGAGACACTGCCCAGCATACCCCAGCCACCTCTGGAATACAGAAATATAAAGATGAATTTAATATCACACTTTAATAGACAAGCTAACAGTAAACAAACAAATTCAGACTCACCTTAAAGATGAAGTGTTTGCGATGATCAGGCCCACTATCATCCACCAACACAAACTCAGGTGGTGACCATCTTCTTTTGTTACAGATCTCCATCAATGCAGAAACTGGATGTTTGCCTTAAAGCCAAAATGCATTTGAAATTTCAGTGCTGCTATTCATTTTCAATGAACCTTTTGAGCGTTTCCAAAGATGATCAAAATCTCACCTGAAAGATCCTTCATCACGACATAATGTCCAGATCTCTTTTGTGCCTTCTCTCCCACAGCAACAAGCCCTGGACAAAACATGAAGTTTGTATATGTGAGTCTCACCTTACTTATGAAAATTCAGAAATTGTAAAGCATGACATGTATCAGTGGAGACAAAATATGGTGACATCATACAAATGCTTTCCAGAAGTCTTTCAAACTTCCCTTCCATCCAGCATTTTTTTTCCCTCCATGCTACACACATTCTTATGAGTGCTCCAGTAACATTGTTCACAACCAGCTAGTAGAAGACTTTGGGTAGACTTATGCAAGTCAGAAAACATCTGGTTTTCTGCATCTTCTTTGGAGAAATGCTGAACAAGAGATAAAGATATCTTCTTGTTCGCTATTAACGTGTGTCGTGCAACCCAAAAGCCATCCAATATCTTAACAGTTTGCCCTTAAGCATACTAGGCATGTGAAGTATTTCTGTTTGACTATATAGAGTGTATCTAGCATGTCCTTTTATCACGTGAAACAGTAGTAACACTTCCAACATTGTGCTTTCTTTATTAGGGGTATGTATTTCATGTCCAAGTTCACAGCCTAATTACATTGATTTCAGTCACACTGAAATACGAAGTACCAGATAAACATGCAACTGGGCCCAGCAGGAGTAACAAGTTTCACTGGAAGCCACTGTGAAACACAGAAGCCAAACACTTTTGCTTTTGAAATCTCTCAAGAGCAAAGGATAAAGCATAACAACTGTCAAAAATGTACCAAATACCAATAACTACACCGTACTTACCAAGAGACTCAGGTTTCTTTCCATTCATTTTGCCCTTACCTTAAATACCTGTAACTGAACTAAATATGTGGTGAATGGTGGTTCAAAACTTCTCAAGACTTCATTCCTTCAGTATTACTTTGTTCCTTACCTCTCTTTGTTTCTGTTCCTTGCTTTGGTGAATAAAGACATGGAGATACTGCACTTGTTTCCAGTTCCTTCTGTTCCTTCAGCTTTTTTTTTTTTTTGCTTGCTTACTGGTTTTACTTGAAAAGAAAACCTTCCTCTCCTTATCAGATTTTCATCCCAATATTCATGCAGCTCTTACATGACTTGTCAGGTGGCATTAAGCCACACAGTCTTTTCTGTTTTTTTTTCCCCCCTCCTTACAGAAGCTGATATGAAAAACATCCAAGAAGTTTCCCCCAAACAAAAAACTCTCAGTTCATTCATCTGCATTAATACTGCTTTTCCCTCCCTCCACATCTCGCCCCTGTCACAGTGGATTCTCAGAAAGGCTGCAACAGACTCCAATCAGCTCTGCTATTTGCTGAGAGCTGGTGCACCAAGCTCCTTTAAACAGAGACAATAGCAAATTACTGGATGACAGTAAAGCACAAGAAGGCTTCTGTTTCAATGCTCAATGTTCCATATATTCAAAACAACATATGTATTAAACAGGTAAGAATTAAGCAAAGCCCATCCATCACAAGGATTAGCAGTATTTACAGGTGATCTACCACGTGCCAGAGACTGCTCTCTTTGAGCTCCATCTCACTGCTTCCCCGTGTCACTAAGCAGACACCAAGCTCTCTGTTACAGACTGCCCAGCACAACGCGGATCTGAACCTGCTTCACACCTTGAAATTTCAATTGGAAATTCCACAAGGAAATTTCTATCTGAAACCACACGAAGACCCTGGTGTACGCTTTCTAAGATGAGAAACTTGAGCTGTAACAAAGCTGTGTAGCACTAAAACTGTTTTAATTTATGAAACAGTCACAGGTTGTGCAACAGTACTGCCTCTCTCCTGCGATACGAAACAATGCAAGCGATATAATTAACAGCTAACTCTTCCCTCCTCATCACAAAAATCCACTCTTGCATTATGCAGGCTGCTTTAAAAAAATAACATTCAAATTGACTGTTCTCAATTTCCTCCCTCTGACTGACATTCATAAAACTACACTGAAAGAACTCTTACCAGCATGAGACAGCACCTACAAAGACCAGAGCAACTGAATAACAGCTACAGAAAGAACACTTTTCTGATACTTTCTTGGTAATCACTGTCACCAGAGTATCTTTCCCCCCTTTAAATGGAAAGGTTGCAAAGAAAAATAGCTGAAGAGCAAGTCTGCACATCTCTCACATTAAACTGAAATGTACATTATTATTGTGTCCTGCAATTTCAAACTGTTGCACTTCTGCTTATAAAATCGTAGTATACTGCTAGGTTTTAAGAATTTGAAAAGCAATAGGTCTTTTCCTAACTTAGGATTTCTCCTGTTCTACCTTAATATTCAAACTGAATTATTTCATGTTTTAACCAGTGGTTTGATCAAGTGAGCATGGCTATCTCTGTACTGAGGTCAGCATCTCCAGAAATAAACTTCATGACGTTTGCGCTTTTATGCTTTGTTTTCTTCAATTATGAGCACTGACTGAAGCAGGCACAAATCCATAATTCAAAGCATTTCATGCTTTAATATTAATAGTTGTGATCCATGTAATATGTTAAAGATCTCCCGTTTGAGATTTTTTTTATTTTTTGTTTTCACTGTTTTTAATATTGAGGAGATCAATTACAAGGATGATTTCTGCAGTCAATGTTAATTTGTTTACTTTGATAACACGCATAATTGAATAATTAAACAATAAATTCCATGTATATTATTTGAAGTTTTAAAATTTTCTGTAGGTATTTCAGATGGAAAGCTTTTCATAAACACCTCCTCTGAATACAGAAGTCACACAGAATATGCTGGTAAGATGGCCAACTGTCTAAATCATGGTTAGACAGTTTAAGAAGCAGCTCGCTGCCTGCAAGTCTCTTCCATCAGATGAGACAAGTGCAACAGTTTTCCACCTGTGGCCATGGACTTTATAAAGGAGAGGAAATAATGGACATTACAAAGGAGGAGAAATAATAAATGAAAGCAAGCAAGGAAACATCACTGCAGTTGAGCAGAGGTAGCTGTAACACGATCAAACTAGGAAATGGAAAAGTAGTTGAATCCAATGGCTAAGAAAGTAAACAACCCATTTAGAAGAGCTAAAAATCTGTGCGACACTCTCTTCATGTCAGGACTTCAGCTGTCACCACAGCTTAAAGACAATCAAGCATTCCACCTTCTACCCTGCCCCATTTCTGCTTCCGCCACTTTCTCTAGGCCAACCTCAGAGGCTTTTCATCCATTCATTTCCCTGTCCTTGCCTTTTCTGTATTTCCAACTGAAGTGTATCTCCAGTTTAAGAACCACAGAGAAGCACTTTTTCAAGTGGAAGGCAAAGGTTAAGGGAAGTCAATGAACTTCTTGAAGAGTTCACCAGCATAAGGACAAAAGTACCTACAAAAGTAATCCAGGCCCTGAAAAACTAGACATCGTTCTGTACATTTCTGCAGGGAAGCTGTACCTAGAAGCTTAATATTTCAAGCTATTTTGCCTACCTTCCAAAGAAGCATAAGTTTACACTGTCATAAAACACTTAAGGAAGTGCTTACCTTTTCGATCAGTCTTAAAGTCAACCATAATAGGCTCGACGCTGCCTTCTTTGTTTTTTCCAAGCCCTTCTCCTTCTCTCCAGCCCATTTTTCTCATCAGCTGAGCTCCCATTCCTCCAGTTACAGGGGCTGCTCTTAAGAACTGATCCTATCCAGAAAAAGAGAAGTAAGACAAATCCTAAAGTTAGGACTGGGCTTTTAAAAAACAAGCGGGAGCTTCCAAAAACGTTTCTAACAACCTTTCACAGACTCAATTCAGAAAAATACACCTTAGCTTTATATACAGCTGTATAAACCAGAATTCACGCAGACACACAATACACAAATCAGTATTTTCCAAAAAGAACAACTTAAGAAAATCCTAACGCAATCCAAAAGTGCCAAGTGACCCATTTCCGACGTATGCACTTAATAAAACAATAACCGTTCAGTTTTAAACACACTACTTTGGTTCCAATGCATCTCTTCTCATCTTGTGAATGGAGGCAGTGTTTAACTGTTTAACTGGCAACAGTCGTGCCAAGTGTACCTATTTATTGAACAAAATACAAGCACATTTAGTAATGACATACAAATAGTATTTACATGTATTTTAAATATTAAAAAATCCCCCGTTTTATTATACAGAAGTTGCACATTCAAGTTCTACTCTGAAAATCCACATGACACAGATACAGGTTTTTCTTCCCTCTTTTTTTAAAGGCAAAAAGGTGCTTAGCCACACAGCTTAGCAGCAGCAGTCGTCACATTCTTTCAAATCAAAATTAATACAATAGTTGTTAACTGTCGAAAGCTTATCAACAGAAATTTTAAAAATCTGTTTTGATGTAAAGAACTTTAAAAACTCCTTAAATGTTTACGTACCTAGGCCTCGATGGCCGCAGTGTTGTGAATAGTAGGGCTGGCATTGACCGTGGCAAGAAGGCAGCTACAAGGATTTGACCCTGAAACAAGTTTCCATATAGAGGGGTGAAAGTTCACAGGTTATTCTGTGAACTATCATCTCTCTTCTGCCCCACCCGCTGACCCAAGTAAGTAAGTCAATCATTTCCATCACAGCAAAAAACTGCTTGGCTTAAAATATACAAGTTTACACACTGGCACTGATAAGTCCATCAGGTATTTCTCATAGTAGGTTAGAGGATACAATGTCTAATATTTTTGTAGAGTTTTCACTTACTTTCAAAGCAAATTCATAGAACCTTTTTATTTTTTTTTTTTCCCCTTTAATTTTGAGTTGTGCTTGCAAAAGTAAGAATTTCTAAGATTTGGACAATAACTGATTGAGTTCCTTGGTTTCAATTTGTATGTAAACAAAAACAGAAGTCTTACTTTTGCAGAGACCAAGGATAATATATTTTGAAGGGGATTAACTGTCCATTATTTGCAACTGACACACACTCACGATGCATGTGTGAAATCCCCACGATCCAATGGTGGTAGCAAGTTTAAAAAAATAAAAAAGACTAATTCCTGAAGATTGTGGTAAGACTTCTCCGAATATTCACCTATTGAACAGTGAAGTAAACTCCTATTGATCATGCAACTGGATGCTGCGTTTAATATCAAGGTGCTCCGGTGGAAGAGGAAAGAGGTTAAGCTCACCTCTCCCATGAAATTACTTTTTTGACTGGTGCAGACCATGCAGTGTGTGTGCACAGAGACAATCGTTCCTTTGATACAGACTGCCTCAAGCTATACGCCTAGAATAGCTTTTACTTACTTCCTTTTTCATCCTCCCCACTCTTTTCCAGGAACCTCTCATAAGAAAAGGGCAACCATGCCGAGAATGATACAAACCCCAGTCAATGTCACCCTGGGTTCCGATTCCTCTTTTGTACCTGCTTTGCAATAATAGAATTTACAATATGAACATCTGTTTCATTACCACCAGTGTGTATTCAGTTCACAAGTGAAAGAGTGCAATTTCCCAATGAGGCTGCTCTAGCTTTCCCAGCACACCTTCCAAGGCACTAACCTGGGGCTTGGAGGTGGTGTACAAAGAAAAAGGAAAACAACATAGTGCTCCTCAGAGTCAAAAATTAAATCCCTGAGCTCCTATGTTAGGAATTATCAGAGATCGAATAAATTCCAAACACTGGAAATACCCAGAGTTTTAAATTCTAAAATGCAGTTCATTAAAAAATAATAATTTTTTTTTTAAAAAAACCCTCTAAAAAACAAAACCACACCTGGCCTAGTGTTCCCACCTGATAATTTAAGTAGGAATTTTTACATATGCTGATTCTTTAACATGCACAGCATAACTGAAACAACAATTAGAAATGATTAAGTTTTGTTTCATTACAGAAGAGTCGTAGTTGTGCATCATGTTGCTGGGTTGAACAAGGTAATTCTAAACTCAATATGAAGGGAGCAAGAAGAAGCCTACTTTGATTCAGGTTACTGATCTAACAGAGAAGGCTGTCAGCTGGGAAAAAACGTCTTCAAAAATTTATCTTTCAAATAATAAATATGAATCTCTAATGCCACCTGTACAGTTATATTCCATGTACATCTTTTCTTTCTCACTGTTTAGTACTGACATACTCACTCCATGGTTTAATGGAGTATGAGTAATGGCATTTGAAAACGTAAATATACTAGAATGTTAATAGAAGTAGAGAAATAAGATCTTCTCAGTTTTAAAACTGAAAAGATTTGTCCCACAGATACCTGACAGTGTGGTACCTCTCCAGCTCCATCCCAGAAGGAGGATATGAAGTTGAATAGCAGTCAGTACAACTAACCCCAAGTTTTGAAGTACTTGGTACTGTTGTCAGAATGAAATAATCATTCAGAAAATAACTACAATCTTTTTAATCCCAATTTTAGTAGAGCAGCATGAAAATATGTCATTTTTTCATATTTTGATCTCTAAACTCCATGAAGTCAGACAAATAAAGCACACTTCAATTCCGCCAGCAGATGGAGACAACTAATAAGCCAAATTCTTGTGTTGCTAGCTTTTCTTTAAAAAGCAGGCTAAGCAGTAAAACCTGATCATTTCAGAATTTTTTCAGTAATTGTCAGTAAAAACTGCCTCTTTTTTAACTACCTTAGGGCAATATACTGGGGAGAGGGAGAAAAATCAACATTACCAGCAAAATAAACCACGAAAGTTTGAATTACCTTGTAAGGCCTTTAAAATAAAATAAAAAGAAAGGTAAAAAATGATTTTACAGCTTTTTGATGAAAGACACTATGAGTTGGACAGTCACCATTATTTGACTGCAACACCTGTCTTTGAAAAAAACATTACATACAGCACTGAATGGAATAATCTATAAAACAGCACTTGCAAAGCTCAAAATATTAAAGCCACAATTACCTGAGAGATCTTGATGAACATTATCGACTGCTGCTGTTTAAAAAGAAAATATCCTTCTCACAAAGCTGACACGGCACTAAAGCCCAAGCTCTCTGCCAGAAGGCAGGTTTCTCTGAGCAATTCTTTATTAAACAAAATACAACACAGCCTTACAGGCTCTTAGTTGAATCGTTTCAGCTGTAGCTCATGAGATGTCTGTGAGATTACTCTAAGAATGACTCCACAGAACTTACGAGTGCAGTACAACTATACTTGGTGAAACTTGCAGCGTAGCTGAGGTTTCCATGACACTGTGACACTTTCAACAGCAGCCACATTCCTTCCCTGACACAAGAGGGAGATGTGGCTCTGGGCAGCCTGGTCTAGTTGGCAACCCCATACATAGCAGGGGAGTTGAAACTAGGTATCATTGTGGTCCTTTTAACCCAGGCCATTCTGTGATTCTATGGTATGTTCTTGAAGAATTCCTACAAATGCCTTGCAAAGACTACACTCACCATCGGTCTTAGAAATCCTCTTCACAGCTTCTGCATACAAGGAATAAAAACCCATCTGCGGTTGACTGAATAAAGGTTTTTCTCTGACTGAGTGCAGAGGAAGCCAGTCCAGTGTAACCAACACATGGTCTGCCTTGCCATCTGGCCTTCAATTCCAAATAAAGCTCACTATGTCATGCAAGGCACTAAACATCAACGTTCTGATAGACTGCCTTGCTAGAAGGAGAGCTTGGCAAGACACATGCCAGTCCTTGCGTGTGAATGATAATAACAAGATTTAGTTTTAACTCTATTGGTCGTGTTTTATTTGCCTGCAGTGACTAGACTACGAAATAAGGGAATAAAGGATTTGACTTCTCAGAACTTGGGATGCAAAACACAGCATTCTAGCAGCCACTATGAAACTGTGCGGCATGCCTTAGCACAACCAAATGAAACAAATCCCAAGCATTACACTGTGCATGTAAAATGTTATAAAAACCTCCTTTTGGAGGGCAAATTTAGGGTATTAGAATTATATAGCTGGTAAACCCAGAAACAAGGGGTGACTGGAAAAGTCTGAACAAGCAGACCTCAAGAGAACTTGCCTGGAAAAATTCTGACCACTTCCACTAGTTTGTCATCAGCACTGTGTATTTGTAATTAATAAATAAACTAATAAATAAATAGTAAAAAAAAAACAAAAAGCAACCCCTGAAACAAGTTGTATTTGTGAACTGATTACACCAATGGTGATGAACTGAAACAGAAATCACTTTTCAGAAGAGAAGATAATACTGTTTATAACTGTTTGATGATACGAGAAACCTAACGATATATTACTCCTTTATGAATACTGCTCAATAAACACCACGAATTAGTGCGTAACTTAAACAAACCAACCTTACTTCTAATTGGTGTGTCTCTCCTTCAAATGTGTCACATTAACCATTTCAATAACTAAGGCCCTCAACATTTTGTTGAGGTAAAACTGAAATGTGCAGACATTTTTGTTTGAGTACATATTACCTCTGCAGCGTCATTTTTAAAAGAAGTAACAATAAAAAGAATAGAAAAAGAAAGACGCTGATACCCAGGAAATGCAAAGCGACAAAAGCACTCTTCAAACAAGTTCCCTAAGTACTTCAGCTTTACTCCCCTCCTGACACTGCCCTTATGTTTTGTTACAGCTACCTCATCTAGTCATTATCTCTATGAAGCACAGTGTCTGCACACGCAGATAGATCTTCTACGGGTATTGATAGACAAACACCTAGCTGGCATGGGCTCTGTCTCTTCTGAACGTGTCCATGAGTCCTCTCATAGCAAGTGCTTATGGCTATCTCCTAAGAAAAATGCCTTCAGTAAGCCACATGTTTAGTCAGAAATGTGCATTAATTTATACTTGCCACATAACTGAAGAAATCTCACAGCCCTACCGGTAGATGAAGTTTACAAATACTTTTGTTTTCTGATGTTAAAAATACATTATTTTCTTAGGACGAAAAAAAAAAAGACAGTGAATAGAAGTCTAACTTCAAGTGTTACGTTGCATACTTAAAAAAGAACCAAGTTACACAATTTCAAGTATCTAAGTGAAATACAACCTGTACTTTGCATTTCATGGTTGTATTCATGTCACTGAGAAAGATAACATGCATTCACAACTCATTATCCCTAATTCACTTTTTTATTTCCTGTGAAATCACCCTATAACCAAAGGAAATGACTTCACACTGAGTTAATCAAACCTAAGTTTTATCAAGGTTTTCACTGGCCCCACCATTCCTGGAAACATTCAGAGACTTCTTTAGCCCTGAGGTATTTTGGAAAGGGCGCGTGGCTTTAACTATGTGTCATCCTGTGGATATGATGGCAATGTGTGCACAAATATGGAACCTAGAAAGAGCAGAAGAAGTCAAGCTGAGGAATGCCGAGCAGGAAGGAGGACTGTGTCCTCCTCATCTTCATCCAACAACTCTTCTTGTTTACAGTAGCAGCCTCCATTCTGACAAACCACACGACGCTTGCTAGGGAGGACGCCTACTACTGCAAACCACTCTATTTTTACAGCAACTAGGAAGACACAAGTGCTTCTGCTGGTTCATTCTTAATTCTAGATTCAATAAAACACCCCAGTTTATGCTTCTGCTCCTCACAGTAGTTATGTCCACCACAAACCAGACACCAGGCTCTTCTTTAATTTTCTCCATATAAAGCTTTTTTTTTTTTCCTTCTCCATTCAGACCACAGAGTGAAGTTAAAAGACCAAGAGATAACACAACTCTACTTTGCTGTTGCTGTTGTCAGTGGACATTCCTGTTACTGCAAGGCACAGAAGGGCACCACCACAGAAATTCAAGGAAGGAAAAGAGGATGAGAAAAGGAGAGTTGGGAAAGAGATGCTCCCTTTCCTTTGTCTTGAAATTCCACTCAACATAAGCAGAAAGACAGAACCCTTGGTAGGCTTGCTAATCTTTCACAAGCCTCTTGGTAAAAAAGCTCTCCTTTTCTCATCAACGCACCTGCCTGCTGAGTGCTTTTTATTTCTGAATTCCAGTGGCAGGGACATTTATTGCAATCAATATTTTGTTAAAATCTCAGAAGTTTATAATTTTTAAAATAAGACTGTATAATCTACACTCAATATTAATACAAAGAAGCCAAAAGATTCCCATCTAACAAGTAATTTGTATCTCTGTGTTGCCTGGCTCTCTGCATTGCTTGGCTACACAAAGCGAAAAATAAATTAATGAATCTTCACAAAAAATATTTCTAGTTTTACTACATCGTATTTCCAGACTTCCATGTTCACAGTTCACATAAAGTTTTATGGAAAACTTTCACTAAGTTTCAAGTCTAACCTACCAGTCCTGAGGGTCATCTTAATTCCAGAAGGATAAGCAAACACAGCACATACTCAACTACATTACTTGTGAGAATAACCATGATAACTCATTATTCATTTTGCTTGCAAAATGGATATTGCTTGAATTCCTCAGTTCTACTTCTTGAAAGAGTATCAGTTCAGCATTCATTTTCAAAGATGAAGCATGACTTATAAAACTTACAAAACGCATGTATGTATGACGCATCGCACAACCAAAATAAGCCAGTATTACTCTGCAGTAAGAGGTAACTATTTCACTGTAAGATAATCTCATACTTATTTAACCCAGTTGCAACTCCTGGTTTAATATTCCAAATCTTTGGATCCCAGAAAACACTGGTGATATAAATAGAGGCAAAGCAGTAACCATCAAATGGAACCAAGTCAAACAGAATGGGCCTTTTGGGACTTGGCTCACTGAAGTTGATGCCAAAACATCATCAACTTCAATGACACCAGGCTCAAACCTCCTTGCCTGATCTGCCCCAATCCCACAGAAGTAGTGATGGACCTACCATTGCAACCATACCAGTATCATGAATGTCATTTCAGTGTAAGTATGTACGTACCAATCTGACTCAAGTAACAGACGCACATCTTATTGCGGTACTTTAGACGCTCAACTGAAATGTCATGTTCAACATCTTAACGCATACCAAAAATGAACACAGCAGCAGCAAGTAGTAAAACTGATCAAAGAAAGTTTTAACTCAATCTGTTTGTTGCATTTGATACATGCATTACCATAAGTTTTAAGGCCTTTTTTTTTTGCATGTTCCAGTACTTTTGCTAACATTTAGTACGTGATATTCAGACAAGTATGTCTGCATAACTTCTACCTTTCTAATCCACGCTTGAGGACCACTGTTGGTTAGCTCATCCGAGGACAAGATCTGTGCTCCAGTACTTCCTGTGAATTGGCCAGGTATGGAGTTTGATTGAGCCCAGGCATCAATCTAGAAAATAAAAATCAACATAGGATTGGAATAAAATTTTTCTTATTTTTCTACTCTCAGTAACTGTTATGATTCTTGTCTCACACTTAGCAAATTGACAAAACTTATTTCAAAGCAGATATCTCAAAAAAGCTGAGCATCTTTTCACATTAACCCTGAAAGCTGAGCTCAGAGCCCAGCAGGTTTGTGGCTCGTGGTTTGTTCATCCTCAGTACTAGTATTATGAAGTGCAAATTAAAGGCAAAATTTTTAAAGACATCCCTATAAGCTGGACTTTCGAATACTGTATTTAAACACAGTAGGAAATAACAGTGATATGAAAAGCAAACATCTACACTTTTTAACTTGATTGAAACACTGATAAAAAGTGCAACATACCTGTTCCTGTGCACGATTTAGCATGCACATGGCCTCTAAATCAAACGTGTTTTCGTTGAGTCTTTTCTGAGCCAACGCTCGATCATTCATAGCTGCAGTTATGTCCACACCCTAGGAAGAAAAATATGATTCTTAAAAATACATTAGAGAAAAGTATCACCCATTTGACCTGGAAAAAAATCCGTTGTAGAGTAAGTGCTACAAATACTATAGAGTTGTTCTAAACATTAAATAGTTAGCTTGACATACAAAATGGCAATGTGAAAACAAAAAGAAATTCTCAGACTATTTATTATGTACACACACTCTTGATGTTTGCTAAACAAATACAAAATCTGAAGTACAAATGCAGCATAGAATCATAGCATCTACAGATTATCTAAAGATTTATTTTCAAATAAATACTTTGGTCATTAAAAGTTGAAGGTTTTAATGCCTAAGACATTAAGAATTCAGTGGAATCTTATTAACGAACAGTATTAAATATAATTTAGCTATAAAATTTAGGCAAGGGCCTTTATATTGAGCTGTTCACACAAATACCCTAATTAAGGACTTCAACTTATGTGTGCAGAAGAATTACAGCAAGAATCACATGCATCCCACAAACTTGGTTTTAGCGCTTAGAATGTTTTATCTTCAGCCTAAAAAAGACTTACATAAAAATGAAAACAGACTGATAGCATGCAAAATTAACTGTTTAGTAAAAGATCATTTGTACCTGTGCTGTTGAACCAGAACAAACATTTAAGAAAAAAATTGAAACCATCTTGCATATAACTGATCAGAACCCAGTGGGTAAAAATATGTAATAAATAAAGAAGTTCAGTGCAAACCTCTACATATAAAGGAACCAAAAAGGAAAATCAAACCATTTGAGGTTGTGAAGATAAATTAAGAGCTGTATACAACCCTTATGTAAGAGTATTTGTGCCCTACTCTTTAAATGACGTGCATTTTGTGGATCATACTGTTTTGAAAGGAGAAAAGCAACAGTGATCAGAGACAAATGAAATTTAATCGAATATAAGCATGTAAAGGAGACTGTAAAGGGCTGGAAAGCACAGAAGAAACTCAATAGCCAAAACAGCAAGTGGCATACAGACATTAATTAGATTGATGATTTAGGGTTTTGTTTTTGTTGTCTTTTTTTGTTTTACTTTGTATTACAAAAGACTTAAGTTAGTCACCATCTCATTACCTTAGCCTCTCACATTATACTAGAATAAAAGGCCAGTGGAAGAAACTGGAATTAGTTTAGAATTGTCTCTGCTGAAAAGATAAAGTTTATCCACAAAAATTCCCATCATAAGAAACATGTCAAGAATTTACTAAATATTGAAAAACCAGCACTAGGCAGACAAATGTCTACAGTAGCATAATACATGATTTCTTTAAAATTATTATTCTGGCTATTAAATCTTAGTTTCAAATGGGGAAAGATGGGTTTATTTGTTTTCCCTGCCTCAGACAAAAAGTATGTCCTCCAGTAAATTAATCCCATATCATGTTGCTAAACCACCTGGTACTGAGAAAGACAGACCGGAAATCCTCACCGCCTGTATGTCTATGAAACTGACTTCAATGTTTATTTATTATCTCAGATGACAAAAACATACATTACAAACAAGGTACCAGAAGAACTGAAATTCTTTCTTTTTCAACGCAACGTGATATTCGTGTATGTAGAAGAACACTTGTCAGCAACGTACACTTTCTCGTGTTAAGAAGATCCCCCCTGTACAGTTCAAATAGCTCTATGTTTCATTTGAGAAACTGCTTCAGGAGATAAATAAAAGTTATTCTACTCACCAAAAGCTTCAATCCAGCAATACACATAGGCATGCAAGTAGTCCACTGAAATCACATCGGGACCACTCGCATACTTAAATACACATGTGTACTTTAGTGCTTTACCGGACTGGGGCCTATTAGTAGATACCCTGGTTAGTTAGAATTCCCATACACTTTCCCCACATGGTCAGTCACCATTTTGGAGACCATCATGGCTTTGTATTATGTCAAGGCATTCGATGGCAGCTTTGGATCTCGGGAAAAAAAAAGTCTCTGCTTGAAGTATGAAAAGTTGTTATTATTTAGTCAAGTAAAACAGTTCCATGTTCAGCATGCTACTCCTGAGTTCTGTCTTTCCAGTCTTGAGTTTCAATAACATTTTTCCCCCAGACAAATACTGAAGCAAGCAGAAAGTGGTGACAATAAAAACACAATTTTGACACACTTTATAAGTCTACTGATACACTAAATGCATTTTATGCACTTTTAGATCAAGAGGGCTTCTCTGCACATGAGCCATTGCTGTATCTTAAACTACAGCATTCTATCTCTGGACTTTCAAGTTTTCAAACATAATTTGCTTCTTCTGTGTTTCTCTGTCTTCTGTAAACATGCTGATACTTGAGATTAATTGAGGCAAGAGCTTTTTCTTTATCTTCTACCACCACAAATACCTACACTAACAGCATTTAATAAATTTAACGTTTTATTAAAAGCATCTGTAATATTTTAGCAGGGCAGTTTTAGGCTACATTATCCTATAACTTATTCTATTACCTGCATAACTGGTTTATTGTTATGCTTTTATTGTGTTTTCTTTTAAATACTGAAATTGACTTGAAATCAGAACTGTGACAAACAGCTACCAAAATTAGCAAGCAAATGAAATGAGGGAAATTATACGCCAAACCTCCTGAGGATTCAAGCAAGTTCCCTCATTACCTCAGCTCCAGCAGCAAGGGACCTGGCTTATTCTGCTCCAGAGAAGCAATTTCATCCACAGGCAGTCCCACAAACACTTAAAACAATTAGTCCTAACAGTAAGCAGAGGAGCACTCTATTACCTTCCCAACTCTCTAGAGAAACACACGGAGATCCTGTTCCTACAAGAATATTCCTGTATTTCAAGGTTAAGGATTGCTGAGCACAAGGGAACAGTATGTTCTGCTGTCAGTTACTGACCCTTGAAATCACCCTTAACACAAACCACGTTAAGGTAAATGCAAATAAAAATATTTATTCACAAAATATAAAAACAGACAAAACAGTTACAAGCATTTATAAGGATACACGTGACAGAATGGAAAGAAAGCTATGTTGAATGTATTTACTCCAATGTCATTTTTCGAGGTCTCTTCTACATAATCAATAATTAACAAATCATCAGCACTTGCCTAAACAAACCTGTCAACGACAATGTCTTGTTTTTGGAAACCTGAATGCAGACAGCTTGCCCAAACCAAGTTTGTCATTAATCACATGAAGGACAAGACTTTTCACCACCTGCTAAAAACACCTCAAGCTCTGCCTTTGAGGTGTGCAATGAAAGCACGTGTTGAATAGGTTATATTCACTGTGCTTTTGGTGCTGCAAAAGACACAGAAGTAAATAACATCTGTGCTTCAGGAAGTGAACTGTACTACCTCAGAAAATTATTGAAAAACAAAATGCACCAAGTTGAAAAACAATTTCATCAGAAATGTGAAGGCAAAACTTTTTTTATTCATTTGTTTTGCAAGGTATTAGAACAAGTCTTTAGAAGAAACAATATGACATTAACTTAAAAAAACAAAAAAAAGTAATGTCTTAAATATTTAATTTACTTAATTACAAAAACCCCACAGAATATTCTTTTGAAGACATATCAAGGGGAAAAACATTTCCTTTTTTCAGTTTATTATACATACAATTAAATTTTCCTTCAGAAGGCCACATGGAAGACAGCTCCATAAGAAAATGGGACTAAAGTTGGAAAAATGAGTAGATACACCAGATGAAATGGCAGTTTGACCTACTTTCAAAGAACTACTTTCAAATCTATTTTTTAATTAATAACATTTCAATTCCATGTTAATGCTCCAACACTGGTAGAAAGTTTAAAATTATTATTCAATTTGTTATTAAAATCTAAACATACGGTATCAACCTTTGCAGAAAACTTGAAACTTGCTTCTCAATCTTCAAGTAAAAGTTTAAGTTCTACTGAGACAATGAAGTCACTAGTTGACAAAAGCACACGATATTGGTACAGGTTGCTTACACCACTGCTCACGTGAACGCTGTGAGTAAATCTGAAGGCTGTAGCAGTTCAGATAACAGCTTTCTCAAGTGCCAGCTACTACCTAAGCACACCTTTCTTTTTTTTCACAGACTGTGATTTGACACCAGACTGACCAGACTGACCAGGCAATGGCTTTTTTTTCCTTAAAGTGTATGCTCTCCTTCCTTTCCTTACCTCAATGGACGGTTTGGGGAAAACATCATCCTTGCTATCTTCTTTGCCTTTTTCAACTGGAACCCATTCTCCATACACACTATCCGCTTCTTTTTTCCTATGCTGAGACCCAGATGAAACAGGAAATTCCTTTGACAGGCTGACCTGATTTTTTGGTTGTGGTGGTGGTGCTGGTTTTATGCTGGGAGTCTTAAAACAAAAAAAAAAAAAAAAGATAGGGAATGTTAGAAGCTGAAAACGCTGTGTAAACTCCTGATATCAAAGACATGACTGAGAACAGTAATAAGACCAGAACCCAGGAAGAATGGAAAGGATGACATTAAACGCATCAAAATTGTGAGGAACAGGTAAAGCAGCCCATGCCCACTAAAGAACAATTCTTTTCAGAGTCTGTATGGAATCCCAGAATATTCTGAATTTCATTGTACCACTTTCTAACAGTGCCATTGAAAGTAGAAATTTATTTCTACCTTGCATCTTGCATAGTTATGTATTACTATTTCTTTTGTAAACACCATAAACTGCATTTTTACAATTAACTTTTGTTTTCACTTAAGCATATTAATACTTCAAATATTAACCAGCAAAACTAAGTCAGACTTTCATAAGCACAAAAAATTCTTAACGTGCAGTTGAAAAAACTTCCTAGACAAATTCTAACCACACTTAAAGTCACACAGATCCCAGATGCATAATAAGAGGTCCCTCATTTATTCTTTCCAGCGCCCTGAAAACATCAACAGAAATGCTAACAAAATCAAAAGCAGCCTCAAACAAAGGCACTTAAAGGGACTTCTACATCCTCTTAATAACAGGCAACATTAGCAGATTTTCCTATTGGCTAATCTCAAAATTAATGGAACATGTTTTTCCTTTCATTAACACTTAAGACCTATTGCAGTAGCAGACATAGAACACAGAGGCTGAGCAAGCTTAATGGCATAATGTCATTCAGAACTCCTCACGATGCCTTTAGAATTTTGTGTTGCATTTAAAAGAAAACTAATACTCTTCTGAAGCATTTTCCAATTCCAATGCTGTTCATACTAAAATTTTTTTGCAATGAAAGTGGGAAACAAAACTGATCCCCTCTATGCTGCTAAAGCTTTAATGTTGTAAAAAACATTAATTAAGAAAAAAAATCTTAATCCAATTATGGAAATCTTTCATAGTATCATGGGCTGCAAATAATTTTCTTTTTTAACAAGAGTACTTTTAATGATACGCAAGCATAATTTCACCAAGCTTATCAATCATTGTTTCAATTTCTCTACAGCTATTTGTCCTTTTTAGAAAAGTTAAATTTAAACTTGATCTTTTAAAATTAAAGTAATTTTTTAAAATTACTAATTACAGAAGTACTCACACTTAAATTGAAAAAAATAGGTTTGGGTTCATTGAGCTTAAAAGGGTGATTATAGAAAGGACGTTCTTCCTCCTCTTCATCAGAAACATGAGGTTTATTCACTATCACATCATCTGTGCTCTGAGCAATCTTCTTGCATTTCTGAAAAAGGAAAAAGAAGGAGAGGTGTGAAGACAATAGTTAGGAATAAATCTGGATCTTTGAACTAAAATGGACAGAATGAACAATCTAACAAAGTGGGATCTATAACTCTGAGAAAACCTCATAGGAATGTCGCAGATATGTACGCCATTTGACTTCTTACACGCTTTATCAAACACCTACTTAAGTTTGCTTGGCACTCATGCAGAAAATAATTACAAACTGTTAAAGATTTTCAGAAGTATTGTAGAATTAGATGCTCAGTGCTCATTTCATAACGCGTGTATATGGCTGCAAGCTTTTCAGAGATCCCTGGCTACCTAGCATCCTATATAATACAAAGAAAATACAATACACATAGACTATAAGCCCATGCAGCTACTGCACAGAACTACTGAGAATTAACAATTACTAATACTGCTTAAATTCTACTAGCAAGCCAGGAACTTATTCAGAAGCAATATCTCTGGAAGACATCTCATTCTTCTGAAATATTTTGAGGTTGGCCAGGTACACAAGACCTATGTTCTATTCAACAGCAGTTTAATCTAAAATATAATATAGATAGATAGATGTCTATATATATTATATCTATATAGGTGCAAGAGACATCCTGCAGCTCAAAGAAAGAACACATAATTCTGGAAAGGCTAGAATTATGACCAAAACCATATAATCAACTGCACTTCGTTGTTACTTGTAATAACTATAATTGAGACAGTCCAAAATGAATTTGAGAACACTTTAGTAACATACTTCCATTATGTCCCCATTTACGAAACATATTCCTACAAGACATCTGATCACATTCTAGTTCAAGTTCATACCATTTTAAGTCACGTCTATTTGATAACCTGACTGTTGGTATGTAAGGAGCAAACAGAGACACTGCTGACACTGCTCTCATCAGTCATTATTAAATGAAGATTCCTATGCTCTTCTGTTCTAAGCCTCCTCTCAACAATGACTTAAGCACACACTTTATGCAGCAGAAAAAGCCTGCATCGCTTCAAAGGCTAATCAACCAAATGTATCATCTACAGTCATTGGATGGCCCCCATTGAACTGGAAGCAGTGTGTCTTCTTCCTGCATGATGCAACCTGCAGAGCATCCAGCTTCCTTGGAAAACAGAACAAGTTCTCCAAGGGTTCTTCCTTTAGACACATTCTCATAGGATGATGATCTGGACTGTTTCTGAGGTTGCTTTTGATTCAGTGCAACATATTAATCATTGAATTCCCACAGACAGAAAGGGTAAGCAAGGGGAAAGTTTTTTTGCCCCAGATGAACAACAGTTGCATTGAATCTTGGGTCAGGTTACATGCAGAAGCACTCATCAAATCTGCACAACCTCCCTGGTTTTTTTGTTTGTTTTTAAGCTAACAAGCACTTCTGCACCATTATCCCCAACAAAAGGATTACTTTTCAGCAATTTGACATTGCCTGATTTCAGATTTTACTTCCACAAATAAAAATGTTTTCAGAATTATCATACTAACAATGCAGCACTGCTACACTAAAGACAACTAGCAATTTTTCCCCACCATCAAAACAAAAACATCCTATTTGTATACTAAAATTGCAACAGATGCATTGCAACAATAACTTTCCCTCTAAAAATGTTTTGGAACACATGTAAAATTATACAGAGCTACCGAAGCAGGTATTGGATTTTTAACACATTGAACACTGAGCAAAGAGAAATTTGATAACAAAATAACAACAGAACTAACAAACAATGCTACAAACAAGAACTAGAACTGAAAGCCTTGATTCATTTTTGGGAGTTCCGTTCTCTTTGTTGAGGTTTTTATTAGAGGGATAGCAAAGAAAACTACCAGTATGTAAAAATTAAAGCATGTAAAAATTACAACAGAAAAGAAACCAAAAAAAGCACAAGAACTGCAATTCACACCTTTCTACAGAATTCAAAGGCATGTTTTCATGACCAAAAAACCCAAAAATCAAACAAACAAAACCTCACAGCTCTAAGCAGCAAAAGCTCAAACCATGTGCCAGCTTTCATGTGAGTGAAGAACACAGAATAAAGCTTGCCTGGCAGTCACAAAAAACACTTTGCTTATTTTCGGTTTGGTATGGTTGTTCTCACTTACCTCAGTGAGCTCCTTTAGTGTATCTCTTGACGACTTCTGACTGGCTTTGTCATCTTTCTTTTGAGATAACATAGGCATCAGGCTTGGTGGTAAAGGAACGCCTGACTTCGCACACATGGCAGCTGCATTAGCTTTGGCTATTTCAAGCAGCTGGGCCTTGTCTGTAAAATGTTAAAGAAAAATTATCAATATTATAGCAAATTCTTGTTCTAATTGTCAATATTTTTATCAACTAAGCAAAGCATGTAAAAAATTACTCTTACTGTGCATTTTTATGCCCTGTGAGAATAATTAAAATTTCAGTTCATCACTCTGGAGCTACACCTTAAAGTACATTTAAGCAAGTTTACTGTAGTTTGGACACACAGTGGAGTTTTGTCCACAGCTTTTAACCATGCTCATTTAATATCTAAAAGCTAAAGAAATTAAAGAATGCCAACTCTCTTTTGCAATACTCAAAAAGTTTTCTTTTTCTTCAAAAATAAATTCATGAAATTAAAGCTGCATGGTATTATGAAAGACATAAGAGAAATGACAAAATGATATGCAACACTGCTTTTTAACTTCTACTATCTAGATCCTTCCTCAGATTTCCAAATCCCAAGCTGAAGAACATTTGCTTTTGTAGGCTTATGGCCATAAACATCACAGAATGTTACGTATTTTTATGTAGCATGAGAAAAAGAATTGAAACAAATCTCGGTCTAATCTTGATTTCCATATCACCAGCATTCAGCACCACATACTCTAGCAGCCTGAAGCCTCATCTGCAAGTAAATCTCAATCTACAAAACCCTATGGATGGCCATTATTGACAATGAATCTGAACAAGCTAGTCAGCTTAGGGGTCAAGAGTATAACTGAGCATATTAACTTAGCTAGGAGTACCTGAAATTTCAATTTTGGTATAAGTAAACAGAAAAAATGTAATCTCATCTAAAAATTCAAAAGTATATATATATATATATATATATGTTTTTATTATTATTTTTTTTTTTTAAAAAAAAAAAAAAAGCTTTTTGAAGCCCATAGAATTTGCGGTATAGACCATCAAACCTCCATATCACATACTAGATTAATAGCTCAACAATGTCCCCCTTAATACAGAAAAGCTTTTAAATAACAAACATTCAAGTGGAAAAGAATAAAAGAATAACAGGAAAAACAAGAGTTATAGTCGATAACAGAGCTAAAGCTTCTCTAACTGGCACTGTAACGTTCTCTCACTCAGCTAGTTCTCAGGAAAACTGGAAGCTCGTAACTTTCTTAGAGACTTCTAGGCCTTTATTAAATGGTTAAAATGGAAAGTGTTCCTCAAGACTACAATAGACTACGTCTGCAGAAACACATTAAAGCAAAAGATATGCTCTTGGCTTTAAATGCACTTTAAACCAAATGGATGGCACAAATTTATCTCCACCATGAATATTTCCTCACTGAATGTCACTGCTTAAAAATAATGCAGAAAATGACTTCAAGAAATTCCTTATGAATGCTACAAAAAATGTTAAAATTAGACTACGTAAACAAACACAGAATTACCTAGGCAGAGATTCTCAAAAATAAAACTTTCACTTACCTAAGTCTGTAAGGCGTTTTGGTGACCTGCTTGCAAATCTTTCTGATGATCTGGACCTACGACGATCAGGTGATCTGCTGTAACCTCTTCTTCTCCCTGAAGACCTTGATCGCCGCAGTCGAATTGGTGACCTACTAGAGCTCCGCCTTCTTCCTCTTGATCTCGATCGCCTCTGACGAAGAGGTGTCCGACTCCTGCTCCGCAATCTCAGTGATATCCTACGATCTCTTGAATCTGATCTTCTCCTTCTTCTATCAGCAGATCTTGATCTATTTCTCTGAGATCTTCTGCGTCTGTCTCTTGATAGAGAACGCCGCCTTCTTGATGCTGACCTTGACCTACTTCTTCTTCTGTGCCTTGAACGCGACAATGAGCTGGATCGAGAACGACGATTAGATTCTGACCTTGATGCTCTTCTACGTGTTACTGATCTGGAGCGATTCCGTCTAGAACGAGAGTCTGCGTCATATCTCTGGGATCTGCGCTGAGAAGACCGGGAGCGCCTGCTTCTAGATCTCCGTGAAGACTCTTTGTCTGCTGTTTTGTCAACAGATTTTGACTGACTCCTTTGGCGAGCAGTGGACCTGGAACGTCTACGTCTAGACCTCCGTGAAGACTCCTTGTCTGCTGTTTTGTCAACAGACGTGGACCTCGAGCGTCTATGTCTAGACCTCCGTGAAGACTCTTTGTCTGCTGCTTTTTCAACAGACGTTGACCTGGATCGTCGGTGTCTAGACCTTCGTGAAGATTCTTCATCTGCTGTTTTGTCAACAGATGGGGATCGACTCATTTGGCGAGTAGGAGATTTTGAGGGTCTACTTCTAGACCTTTGTGAAGACTCTCTGTCAGACATCTTTTCAGCAGATTCAGATCTAGATTTCTCACGTTCAGAAGATTCAGATCGCCTGCTTTCAGTCATAAAAGAAGAGTCCTGTCCCTCTGACTTCTCAAGAGGTATGGAAGGTGACCCCTCATGTTTATCTTCAGCAGCTAAAGAGGGCTCCATATCCTCAACTTCTTCACCAGTGGTAGACCTTGACTCATGGTCATCTGATGATGTTGAATCTCTTCGCTCAGCTGTCAAGGAGGGTTCCACATCTTCTCCTTCTTCACCAGTAGTAGACCTTGATTCACGTCCATCAGGGGATGTGGAATGTCTGTGTTCAGTTGTCAAAGACAGTTCCATATCCTCTGCTTCTTCACCAGTGGTAGACCTTGAATCTTGCTCATCAGAGGATGTGGAGTCTCTTCGTTCAGCCGTCAAGGAGGGTTCTACATCCTCCACATCTTCACCAGTGGTAGACCTCGATTCACGTTCATCTGAAGATGTGGAGTGTCTACGTTCAGCTGTCAAGGAGGGCTCTAGGTCCTCTGCTTCTTCACCAGTGGTTGACCTTGACTCACGTCCATCAGGAGACACAGAACGTCTGTGCTCAGCCGCTAAAGGCTCCAAATCCTCTACTTCTTCACCAGCAGTAGACCTTGAGTCATGTTCATCAGAAGACACGGAATCTCTACGTTCAGCAGCCAAGGAGGTCTCATGGTCCTCTTCACCAGTGGTGGACCTCGAATCATGCTCATCAGAGGATGTGGAATCTCTTCGCTTCCCTGTCAAGGAGGGTTCCACATCCTCTACTTCTTCTCCAGCAGTAGACCTTGAATCATGTTCATCAGAAGAAATGGAGGATCTATGCTCCATTGTCAAAGGCTGTTCTGAATACTCCACCTCCTCACCAATGCTAGATCTTGACTCATGCTCATCAGGGGATGTGGAGCGCCTATGTTCAGATGTCGAAGAGGGCTCCCGATCCTCTATTTCCTCATCTATGACAGACTTCTCATCATGTCCCTCAGGGGTAATAGATCGTCTATGTTCAAAAGTAAGAGAGGACTCTAGACCATCTTCCTCCATGGGAGATTTCACTTCATGACTCTCATGATATGGGGACGTGGAATGTATACATTCAGATGTCAAAGGCGGCTCTAGATCACCAGTTTCTTCACCAGGAACAGATTTCACACTGTTGCCATCAGGGGATGTGGAGCATCCCCTTTCAGGCATTAAAGGCATTGCATCATCCATTTTTTCAACAGGGGTGGATTTCAAGTCACTTACATCTGGGGACATGGAGCCTCTATCATTTAATGTTAAAGGTTCAGGATCACCTACTTGTCCAGAAGCGAGGAATCTCAACTCCTGACTATCAGGAGATGCTGCATGCTCACTTTCAGATGTTGGAGAAAGCTCTTGAACATCTACTTTTTGAACAGTGGTGAATCTTACCTCCTGGCTCTTGAAAGACAAGTAATGGTCACGTTCAGATGTCAAAGAAGAATCCATATCTTCTGTTTTATCGCCATGAGTTGATCTTGATTCATATTCTTCACAGGACACAGCATGCTCATTCTCATATGTCAGAGAAGGTTCTTCACTCTCTACTTTTTCAGCAGGGCTAGTCTGCAGCTCTTGAACTTCAGGAGACATGGCACATTCACCTTCAGACATCAGAGACAACTCCTGCACCTCTGTTTTTCCAACAGCAGTAGACTGCAGCTCCTGGTCATCAGTGGACATTGAACTTTCACTTTCAGATGTTTCAGAAGATTCCCGTATTTCCTCTTTTTCAACAGGACTGGATCTCAAATCATGACCTTCAGGAGATATGTCATACTCATTTTCAGAGAGCACAGAACACTCCTGCGCTTCTGTTTTTTCAGCAAGAGGAGATGACAACTTCTGCACTCTGGGGACCACAACATATTCATTATCTGATATTGCAGAAGGCTCCTGTCTAGTTTCAGCAGAAATGGCTGTGATATCTTGGCTCTCAGGAGATGCATCATATTCATTTTCAGACATCAAAGAATGCATTTGTACCTCTGCTTTTCCAGCAGGCAAAGTTTGTGATTCCTGGTCTCCAGAGTACACAGCACATTCACTGTCAGGTACTACAGAAAGTTCCTGCATCTCTACCTTCTCAGGAGAGCTAGTTCTCAACTCCTGGCACTTCCAGGATACAGCATATTCGTTTTCAGATGTTAAAGCAGGCTCTTGCACTTCAGTCTTTTCAAATGCAGGTGACAGCAACTCCTGGTTCTCAGAAGACACTGAACATCTTTCTTTGGGAATCAGATAAACTTCTTGTATCTCTGCTTTATCAGAGGTTGATGTCAACTCTGGACCAGAAAAGCCCACTGTGTTTTCATTTCCAGGCATCTGTGAAGGATCCCCTACATCAACTTTCTTGAAAGTAGTGAGCGTCAACTCATGATCATCAGAAGAAACAGAATGTCTCCTTTCTACTACCAGAGGCTGTTCCTCCTGCACCTCTATTTCTCTGCCGGAGGGGAATCTCAATTGATGTTCATCAGGGGATGTAATGCATTTCTGTTCAGAATAAGAGGATGACTTCTGCCCTTCTACATTTTCAGTTTGAGTAGCTCTCAATTCATGACTATCAGGCAATATGGAAAGCCCACCTTCAGATGTCAGACAAGGCACTGTGGCCTCACATTTTTCAGCAGATGTGCTTACCAATTCCACAGTATCTACACCTTTCGTTTTCTCAAAGTAACTGTATTTTGACACATGGCCACGGTGGCACAAAGGAATTCCACTTGTAGACAAAGCTGATTCTGTAACCTCTATTTTTTCAGCGGGTAGATGTCCTGATTCATGCATTTCAGAATTCTCAAAGCAGCCAACTCCAAGTACTTGTGAAGATGCTGAACCATCTAAATCTTTCTCAATAGATGAACTGGACTCATGAGCCTCAGAAGACTTGCAGCTTTGTCCTACAGTAGTTTGAAAAACTTCCTGTATTTTTGCAGAAGATGAAGTTGAAATGTGGTCAACTGTGATCTCAACAGGACCACACTCAGATGCCAGGGAAGCACTGGGAGCATTTAATTTTCCAACAGGTGACTGTAAGGGCGTACCTTCAGATATCAATGGGACCTCCTCTGTTTGTGTACCAAAGCTGGATCCCAATTCATGTCTGTCGGGAGTCCTGAAGCATACATTATCAGAAGCCAGAGAAGGCAACTCCATCTGGCCCTGTGCAACTGGTAAGGAGACTGACTCATGGACATCGAGGAACTCAGAGCTTGTTACTTCAGGAGCTAAAAAAGGTTTTTGAACTTCTGCTGTTTCAAAAGACTCAGTGCTGTCAGCCAACTCAGAAGATCCACTTTGAGGCACTTGCAAAAACTTCTGGGGCTCTGCATTTTCAGCAGGGATGTGCCTCAATTCACAACCATCAGAAAGTACACTTTCAGACATCAGTGAAAATCCTTGAATCTCCATGTTTCCCGAGGATGTGGAAGTTGACTTGTAATCATCAGCAGATACAGAGCATCCACTCTCATTTGTCAAAAGAGGTTCTGCACCCTCTGTTTCTTTGAAAGATGTAGATCTTGACTCATCTTGATGGGATGTGGAAAGATGAAATTCTGTTACCGAAGTTGTCTCTGCATCTCTCTTTTCAACCGACGAGGACACTGAACTGGATGCTGAGAACGTAAGTTCAGTAAGTGATGAAGATTCCAGAGGTACAGTTTTTTCTGCCGGCACAGATCCTAAGTCAGAGTCATAAAGAGTGGCTGACCCATTTTCAGAGGTCACAGAAACCTGTGTTTTTTCCACAGGTATGGAACACTGTTCTTGATCATTTGAAGTTTTGGAGCTATCAAGTTCAGGTATCACTGTAGGCTGTGGACCATCCATTTTTTCAACAGATAAGCTTGTCTCAAGACTCTCAACAGTTTTGGAAAATCCACTTCCAGATGGAGGTGGCAGCTCTGGGCCATTTATTCCTTCAAGAGACAAAGCTACTGACATGGGACCATTAGACGATTTGGAGGAGCTGATTTCACTTGTGACAGGTTCAGAACCATCTACCTTCTCTTGTTCAGAAGAGTCCGCATGTTTTTTACCGCACTTTGCTGAGGCTAACTTACTTGCTCTTTTTTCTACAGATTTTGACCTCGATTTGAGACTGTCAGAGGATTTTGAACGCTTCCGCTTGGATTTCTTTGAAGAGTCTTTGCGTTTTTTTTCTACAGACCTAGACCTAGACTTGTAACGTTCAGAGGACTTTGAGCGACGACGCTTAGATTTTCGTGAAGACTCCTTCTTTTTTTCCACTGACTTGGATCTAGATTTATAACCGTCAGACGACTTTGAGCGCTGACGTTTTGATTTCCGTGATGATTGTTTTCGATCTCTTTTTTCTACTGATCTGGACCTAGACTTGTAATGGTCAGAGGACTTGGAGCGCCGACGTTTAGATCTCCGCAGAGATGCCTTCCGACCCCTCTTCTCTACAGACCTAGACCTAGATTTTGAACGATCAGAGGAACCAGACCCTCTATGTCTGAACCTCCATGAATATTCTTTGCCCCCTCTCTTTTCTGATGACCTGGATCTAGACTTAGAATGGTCAGACGACCTGGAACGTCTGCGCCGGGATCTCCAAGAGGACAATCTGCTCCCTCTCTTTTCTACTGATGGCGATTTAGACCTGTAACGGTCAGAAGACCTGGAACGTCTGCGTCCAGACCTTCGGGTCTTTTCCACTGACCTGGACTTGGATCGGTAGTGATCAGATGATCTGGAACGTCTGCGTCCAGACCTTCGGGTCTTTTCCACTGACCTGGACTTAGACCTGTAGCGATCAGATGACCTGGAACGCCTGCGCCCAGACCTTCGGGTCTTTTCCACCGACCTGGACTTAGATCTGTAGCGATCAGAAGATCTGGAACGTCCACGCCTGGACCTTCGGGAGGACAGTCTGCTCCCTCTCTTTTCTGCTGATCTGGACTTAGATCTGTAACGATCAGAAGACCTGGAACGTCTGCGCCTGGACCTTCGGGAAGACAACCTGCTTTCTCTCTTTTCCACAGATCTGGATTTAGACCTGTAGCGGTCAGATGACCTGGAACGTCTGCGTCTGGACCTTCTGGTCTTTTCCACTGATCTGGACTTAGACCGGTAGCGGTCAGATGACCTGGAACGTCTGCGTCTGGACCTTCGGGAAGACACTCTTCTGTCTCTCTTCTCCACAGACCGGGATCTAGATTTGGAATGCTTTTTTCTGGAATCTGAATAGTTTCTGCTCCTAGATCGTGCTCTCTTAGAGGTCAAACGCCTGGAAGTAGAACGTGACCTTGACTTTTTTTTCCGCTTCCTAGACCTGGACTGGGACTTAGACCGACTCCTTTTCTGTTTCTTTGAATCATGCTTACTTTTTTCACTGCTTCTATGGCTGCTCTTTTCAATAACTTTCTCAAGTCTCATTAAAGTCTCCCTCATTCGTGCTGCCACATCAGGTTGCACATCCGATGTTTCTGAATCTCTTGTCTCAGATGCCTCTTCTGCAGCCACTTCTTTGTCAGCCTCTACTTGTGGAATTGCTTCCAACTGGCTTGCCTCTTCCACAAGTACTGGAACTACTTCTGTAACAGTCCCTGGTACTGGAGCAGCTTCCAAATCTTTCGTGTCTGCCTCTGCCTCCTCAACTGCTTCTGCAACTTTCACCTCTACAACAGTCTCAGAAATATGAGTCATTTCCAAACCTTCCGTTTCTGCTACGCAACTTGGAGGACCTTCTAAGTGTTTTGCATCCCTGATTATTTCAGACTCAGGAGTCCCTGTTGAATCTTTCACATTTGCAGCATGCGAAGAACTAAAAATTGTTTCTGCAGGTACTCCAGATTTTGTTGCAATCTCCCTATCACTTAGTGCTATGAAAGGCTCCAATGGTAGTGCTTGCTCTGAATCATTCTTTTCAGCAACCATCTCACATTCCAGAGCCAGATTGGAAACGCGCACATCCTCTTTTTGTCGACACTGCTGCCCTTCTGAATACTGTACTTCTGCAGAAACTTCATGTCCCAGCATTGTCCCCAGATCTTGTGTGTCCTCTGGTCTTGGAACTGCTTCAGATTTCATTTCAGCAGCACCCCAGATTTCTGCAGCTTCTTCTGTACTTTTCCATTCTGCAGTAGGTTTGGATTCTAAAACTGTTTGTGCATGTTCTTGTGTTCCAGTGCTCAAATATTGTGGAACAGATTCCATATGTTGTTTTGTCATACTGAATGCTTCTGAAGCATCTGCTAAAACATTAATCTCTGCCACTTTTCCATACTTTTGGGAAGTTTCCAAACCTTGGATGTCCATGTATACTTCAGGTTCTTTGACTGTTTCAGAACCTTTCACTTCTGCTGCTGCAGATTTTTCCATGCTTTCCAACCTCACTTCTCCAGCTTCTGATGCTGGCTCCAAATATTTTGCTTTCATTCCTTTCTCAATTCCTGAAGATTCTTCCAAACCTTTTACATCAATCACAGGTGAAAACTCAATTTTTTCTCTGTCTGCCTTCCTTGTAACTGTACCAGATTCCTGAGTTATCGTATCTGTCAAAATCTCAGACTGCAAAGTTTCTTTCAAGTTTCTCACTTCTATCACTGTTTCTTCCACTCTTTGGCAAGACTCTAATGCTGCTTTTGAATTGCCTACTACTTGGTCCTGCAAAGGACCTGAAGCAGTTTTAGAATGCTCTACTACTTTGACAGCCCTAGATTCTGCTTCAATTTTGTTTGGTTCACTTCCAGTCTCATACTCTATAGTTGTTCCCAACTCCTCCAAGCATACAGGTTTTGAATTTGTATCTGAAGTTTTCACTGTCACTGTTTGCACAGGTTCTAGCACTGTTTCTCTGCTCCTTACTTTTGCTTTGTTCAGATCTTCCACATCAGATATCACTGTTGTTCCCCAGTCTTGTATTTGTGTCCTTGTTTCAGACCCCGCAGCCATTTCCAAATTTTTCATCCCTGTTAAGCATGCAGTTTTTGAACCTGTTTCTGTATCTCTTGCCTCTGCAACTGCCTTAACTTCTGCCAAGTTGTCTAAACCTCTCACTTCTGCAATGGTGGAACTTCTAGCTACTTCAAAATCCCTTTTTTCCCCTGGAAACACAGTTTGTGAGGTTGCCTCCAACCCTCTCATACCTGTCCCGATCTCAGACTGAGAGACTATACAACTCTCTGTTTTGCTTGCAAAAAAAAGGTACTGCAACTGTTTCCAGGTGTGCTATTTCTCTCTTTGCTTCCATACTGCCACTAGAAGGTTCTTCTGAAGCTTTCATGCTTTCCATTTGCAAAGAAAGTGAAGTTGCTCTTTTCATGTCTTCTTTCTGCAAAGACTGGGGAGTTGCTTCCAAACCGCTCAAAACATTACTATTTTCCAATTGCAGAGCAACCGGAACTGTCTGGGGAATAAGGGTCTGGACAACAGGTTCTGATGTTCTTTGTAAACCTTTTGCCTCTGCAACAACATTCACATCTGTCAAGCTTTGCATTTCTTTTGAGAATGTACACTGCAGTAACACTTCTGAAGTATTCAACGCTGTTGCAGAATCAGAAGTTTCTCTCACAACCATGACTGCTTCTGAAGTTTTTGGCTTTATCATAGGTTGCAGAACTTCTTCCAAAGGTCTCACATTTCCCATGGGCAGAGAGACTCTAACCGGTTCAATATCCTTCACCTCAACAGACCCTGGTGCCAGGGGTGTTTTGGCACTTTCAATTTGCACCTGACTTAGAGCAGTCACTGCAGGTACTTTAAAAGAATGTTCCAAAGCTGCATCTGGGTCCACTTCTTTATTTTTCACATCTCCCATCATAACTACAGATTCCGAGGCTGCCTTCAAGATACTTGAACTCTCCATGGAACTGCGCTGTGTCACTCTCAAATTATCAGACACAACTGGTAATTCAGTTGCTCCTGGAATTCTTACTTCTCCCATGGCCATAGACACGTCAGTTACCTTCACAGTATTCAGATCTGCAGGTTTAGGAATTGTTGTCACATCACTTGTCAAACATATCGATTCTGAAGTTGTTTCTAACTCTTTAGTGCCTCCCAGTGCCATAGCCTTCAGAGATGCTTCTGAATACGCCAATACCTCCGTGGTATTAGATGCTAAACTTGTATCCAAGGTTTTTACTTCTGAAGGTAAAGCTAATTTCTGAAGTTCAGACGTATTGGCAACTCCAGATGGGATGCTAGTTGAAGCAACACTTCCAGTAATAAAAAAATCACCCTTTTCGCTCACATTGACAGCTACAGGATAAATATTTTCATGAGATTGTTTTATTTGTTCTTCTCTAGTGCAAATTTCAGTTTGAGTCATACTAGCATTTTGTTGAATAATAAATTGGCTGCCTTCTAAATTAAACTGACGATCCGTTGCACATAAAGTCCCCTTCTCACTTTCTAGATTTTCCACACATGGCTGAGAATCAGTTATCAATTGAGAAGCAAGTCCTAAAGCTTGTCTATCAAGTTCTACATTTGCCTGTAAGGACAGTCCTTCTGGCTGTATATGGACAGCCAGATTAGCATCTCCAAATCCCCCATGCTGCACGCTCAGTGTGGAGCTTGATTTCTCTGGAATCAAGAGAGAAGCCGGCTGTGAGTCCACATGTTCTCCACGACGTGCACTCAACTTTGACTCCTTTGGCTGCTTTTTATGTTTTTTCTCTTTCTTCCTTTTCTTCTTCTTTTTCTTCTTCTTTTTGCTTTTGTGCTTTTTGTTTTTCTTTGATTTTTTTCTAGGAATTTCATCTTCACCTGCAGCAGTAGAGCTTCTTTTAGTAGATTGAGTACTATTGCTCACAGTAGTTTTGTCTACATCTAGAAAAAAATGATATTTTCCTTATAAATATTATTAAAAGTTATTTTAGACAAGTAATCAAATACATGGAAAAGGCACAAACAAATTAGGACTTGACACCTATTCCTTCCTCACTAAACTATCATACACCAAACCAACAAACATTCCTTCTTCTGCCCTTTTGCACTGTAAGTTAAAAATAAATAAATCTGGTTTCAAAAAGTTTTCAATTCTTCAAAAAGTTTATCAGTTCTTCCTGGTGGTTCCACTGGGAATACGACTCATTCCAACAAGTAGTTTGATGCATCTTGACCTACATACAACACATCAATACATTCTCCCAGAAGGTGGACGACACGTTTTTAAACTACAGCGAGCTGGAGGTGAAAATAAAAGTAAAAAAAAAAAAAAAAAAAAAAAAAAAAAAAAAAAAAAAAAAGAACTCCAATTTTCCATGCAAATTATCTAAGTGGTGGCATGCTTAGTGCAGAAAATATGGCCAGACAATTACCTCCTAGTTTGCTTTACAAAGTCTTACTCGTTCAACTTCTGAGTAAAATACTATTACTGCATTAGAAATGACCTTAAACATATTTACTAATTAAGTTCCTCACTGACCAACAGAGTTCTTCAAATGTCTTTGATGAAACAGCAACTACTTCCTCAATTCTCAATAGGCCTTAAGAAACTGTAAGTAAGGAAGAGCTTAGGCCTGACTGCAGCAGCTGTGTTAGGTTCATACTCTTCTCACAATCTAGTCCCACGTTTTCATGAGAAAGATACTTTTTTCATTGGTAAATTGCCATAGACTTGAACATATAGCTAATATGTAACAAAGGCTATCTGCACATCATCTTGAGTAACTATATTTTAGTAGGCAATGCAGAGACACAAGCTTTCCAATTGTAATCTGTGATTAGAAAGAATGATCTTTCAAGTAAATAATACAAGGTATTCAAAAAATTGTTGGCAACTGCATTTAACCAATATGGCTAAGATCCCATAAACACATCCTAGGTAGCTTTAAGCACTCATATGTTAAAAAAAAAAATAATCATCACAGGTTATTTTTTTTTTCTTAGATATTTCCAACAACATTGCTGAGAATGCATTTGAAGATTATAATGAAAGACTTAAATGAACTGCACAGTACTTTCAGATAATCCCTGCTGACTAAAAGCAACATTAACTGCAGGAACCTTAGATTAAGTTTATCAACTTCAAGATGAATATACCTCACTCATTTACTACCATGTTAGCTCGCCTCACTCTTTTTCAGCACAGCAACAAAAACACAAATAAAATAGATACCAACGTAAGCACTACTTGTATAACATAGCTCTGTAACAATACTGAAAATGTTCAAGGTAAACAAACCACTATGCACATAAAGAAAGAAGTAATGTCAAAAGGTTGAAAATAACGTCTTTGAAACAAACAATTTCTGTCACTATTCTCTACGCTGCCACTTACAAAATCAGTCTGGAACTATACTTACCAAGTACAAAGAAACCCCCTATGTTTTAAATTCAAAAACAAACAAAAAACCTCACAAGTGCAATAATTACACCTTCATCTCAGTGACTGTCTTGATTTGGAGATTTTAAAGAAAAGACTAATCACATCAAAAGGGATACTCAAATGCATACATCAGTAAATTATTGGTTTTATTATTCAAAAAAGTTGCAACTGCTATATAACTTTTTCTTAACGTTTGGAATACTGCTATTTGAGTACCTACAGCTTAAAGATAAGCACCTTATCCATTTTAAAACAACAAGCATCTTACTCTGACTGAACATTTAATCAATTATACAGTTCTGAATTCTAATAAATCACTTTTAGAAATAATCTCACACACTGATGGAAAATAAAACAACAAACAGTCCTTCTATCTACATCAATACCAGCTTTCCTAGTAAGAACTGCACATCAAGACCCCAAGGCAGATACATTTCAAGCAAAGCATAAAATCACAGTGTACCAAAAAAAAAAAAAAAAAAAAAAAGATTTTTCTCTACATATTTTTTCTAGGTGTCATTACTTTTTGTTGTTATTGCAAGGGACAGAAAACTAACATTTTTACACTAAGTAATGTTTTCATAAATTAACTTTTTTTTCTTTTTCATTTTTTTCAGTTATGTATCTCTCTGCCCATTTGTGGTTATAAGTCACAGTAGAGAAAAAAAAAACACTTAACAAACATTACAATAAACACACAACTTGTCAGATGAAGCTCAGTGAGAGAAGCAGCATTGAAAAGTACTTTTTCGTCTCTGTAAAAATGATTTAAGAACTATGACAGCCTTCTTAACAAGAATGTATTTGCCAAATGTGTTTTCATTTACCTGATTTGCTCTGCAGTTCTGTATCAAGGGCTCCAGAGAGCACTTCCTCTATTTTCTGCACTATCTGATCATTCTGACGACTCCCAGCACCAGCAACAGTGTCATCTGAAGGGTTGGCTTGCTCAGCTGGGACTGTGTCACCATTGGGCTGGCCTTCTACCTTTCCACTAACCAAAAAAAATATCAACATAATACAAGCAGTTTTGAGCCTTTTTCGACCTTTAAATCCACATACATTTATAACACTGAGCCCTTCAATGTAACCTCCTGAAGATGCCACACTTTTAATGAAACATCTCCTTTTTAATTAACTGTCAACAGAACACCTTGTAACAACTCAGTACAAGGCACAAGAGAGCAAAATGTGTCCTCTAATGAGTAAGCCGCAATGCTTTACGTTGGAAGTTATACATGCCCATCAACTCCCAAAGCAAAGTAAGCACTCATCACCCAATCTTTTCTAGCACATTTTGCTTGCTTTCCGAGATAAGGCTGTGAAAAACAACGGGGTGAAGTTAAAACGAATAAGAACAGCAAGACAAACCAAACAAACCACACTCATCCTTTCCCCTCCATCCACAGACGTGAGGCCAGCACGGAAATCCCATCCGTGAAAATAAAAAAAGATACTGCATGCCCGCTCGCCCGCCCTTACACCCCCCCCGGCTGCTTTCGCTGAAGGCGTTTGCAAGGCCGCAACCCCCCGAAGTCAGCCACGTCGCAGCTTACTACGAGCCGTGCGAGCCCCAGGCCCGGACCGTCTCACGCCGTCCCGAGGCGGAGCCCGCGCACGGTTCAGCCCTCCCTCCTTCCCCTCCTTCCTCCCGCGCCCTAGGCCCAGGCGCGATAGCGGCCCAGGCCGCTCCTCTTCCCCCGCCGCGGCTCGTTACCCGCCGTGCTGCTGCTGCTGCTGCTGCTCTTCCTGGATCTCCCGGAATTTGTTAACCACGAAAGAGCGAAAGATCTGCTCGATATTAGTCGCCATGACAGCCTTAACAGCGTTAGCGCGCCGGCCCCCCCCCCGCGCCGCTCCTTCCTGCCGAGAAGCGAGGCCTCCGCTATCCCA